CATCTATCCATCCATCCATCATTTATCCATCCACCATCTATCCATCCATCATCTGTCTATCTATCTATCTATCCATCCATCCATCCATCATCTATATATCCATCCATCCATCCATCCATCCATCCATCCATCATCTATCTGTTTATCTATCTATCCATCTACCATCTATCCATCCATCATCTATCCATCTATCATCTATCTATCCATCCATCCATCATCTATATATGTATCTATCTACCCATCCGTCATCTATATATATCTATCTATCCATCCATCAACTATCTATCTGTCTGTCTGTCTATCTATCTATCTATCTATCTATCTATCTATCTATCTATCTATCCATCTGCCATCTATCTGTCTGTCTGTCTGTGTATCCATCCATCCATCCATTCATCTATCTACTTGCTTACTTACTTACTTACTTACTTACTTACTTACTTACTTACTTGCTTACTTACTTACTTACTTACTTATTTGTAATGGTCTCACCTTATACCAGATTATATCTGGCTCTTGCTTGCCCACTTTATAATCCTCGGTATCTGGGCAGGAAATGACTTTGGTCCTGGTGATTTCTGATTTTTCTAAGTAACGAATTGTGCTGTTGTAACAAAGTCCAAGTTCATTTTCGGCAACTGTCAACGACATGGACACTTTCATGCAGTACGTTGAGTTTCTGCAGAGAAATAACAGAAGGTGGAGCCGGTTGAATCATTCATCGCCTCTGAATCCATCGCCTCTGTCTTTAAACAAAGAGGGTGCAAACGCATATGAAGGACAGTAGTCCTCGACTCATGACCACAGTGGAGGCAAAATTTATGCCGCTGAGCGATGTGGGTGAATTTTGCCCCATTTTATGTTGTTAAGCGAACTGTGGCCATTCTTAAGTTTGTAAGGCGGTCGTGTAAGTGAATCTTCCCCATTGAGTTTGCTTGTCAGAAGGTCGCAAAAGGGGATCGTGTAACACGGCCACGGAAATAAATACTAGCGTTGTGGTTCGCCAGCAGCCTGTGCAGACGGCAGAGGAATTGGAGAGTGGGGAAGAACGGGGACCGATCAGGGAGTCTGGAAAGGACTCGAATGAGGGTCCTGCATCCGATGCAGAGATGGGGCCAGGACCATCTGGGAGCGGGGTGCTGCCTCCAGAGCTTCCGGAGTTTGGAAGCAGCAAGGTAGAGGACCGAGGGGAGCCTGTTCCCAGTGTGCTTGAGCGCAGAGCTGCCAGAAGGCAAGAACAGCTGAGACAAAAGGGGCGACTCAGGAGTAAGGCTTAGAGATGATTGCCCCTCCCATAAGGTATAAAAGACAGGCAAAGTTAGGGAAACCTTTGCAGGAAGCAAAGTCGTTTGCTCTGTTCAGATTAATCCTTGGAGCTCTGTGTGGACTTTGTACTTGGTTGTTGTTTTTTCCAGTTTATTTGGCACTCTAGTTGTTGGCAGCAATTCAAAGGAGAGAAAGGTGAGTGCTTATCTCAAGGGACTGTTAGGGACTCATTACCGGCTGGGAATGCACATAATTCCCAGCATTGAAATAAAACAAGAGTTGCCTTGTTCAGAACAACTAGTCAGTTGCCAAACGGCTGAATTTTGACTACGGGGAAGGGAACCCCAGGCATTTTTCACACTTATGACCATCATGGCATCCCCGTAGTAAAAATTCAGCCATCAGTAAATGAACTGTTGTTAAGTTGAGGACTAGCTGTACCTCCATCCCTTGAAAAATGTCTCTGAGGGGCATTTAACAACCGCTGAAATTAGAAGTACAAAAAATAATAAAAGGAATTCAAGGAGCATTGCGAAATGAGCTGGACCCGTCCCAGCGATCCGCTTAATCCTTTTGCAAGTGAAACCAAATAACGGTGAGTGGCGTGTTTGACCCCCATCGTTCTTTCATCCAAGGCAAGAATTTGAGGACATAATTTGGCCTCTCCAGAATCTGGCAGATGGAGAAAATGAACGGAGAGAAATCACATTAGCTGCATTAAACAAATTGATTTTTAAAGATTTGCTCGGGTTTCATTTCATTACTATTTTAGTAAGATTTAATTATAGACAATTATATAAACACTAAATTCAGCTTTTGATCTGTCCTCCTTTATTCCTTTAGATCTAATCCTAAATCACATTTGCTTTTTAAAAGTCTCTCTCTCTCCCTCCCTCCCTCCCTCTCTCTCTCTCCCTATCTCTCGTCCTCTCTCTCTCTATTTCTCTATTGATTGATCTATCTATATCTCTCTATATAGATATATATATCCCCCCTCTCCCTCTATCCCTATCTTTATCTCTATATCTCTCTCTATCCCTATCTCTCTCTTTCTCTCTCTCTCTATTAGACTATTTTCTAATACTTATTTCCTCTATCTGGTTAATACTCCTTTTATAACCTCTATATATTTTCTCTTCCCTATCTATTCACTCGCTGGTTTCTACTTTTTATCCAATTATACCAGTTTTCCCCAACTGTAAAATATTTTGAGTCTTCCTTATCCTTTAACTTTTGAATGAGTTTATCCATCTCTGCGCAGTCGTGGACCTTCTGAATTATCAAAATATCAGTTGGCAAGTCGCTTTCATTTAGGCTAATGTGAATTCCTATCATTCACATCCAGCAAAGGCCTGGCAAACAGTCTTTTGAGAATGATTTACAATCACAGACCTTACCAGGCTTGGAGAGTTGCCAGGCCGATAGCTTCCAAGCACAAGGCTGTAGCAGAAAATACTTGGCAAGGAGTCAGGAACAAATCTTCACACTAATTAAACGAGCTAATTGTCTCCTACAAACACCACTCCCCTTTTGCTCCTCTTTATTCCCTATGGGAAGGGCCATTCACTGTCCGGACACCTGTGCCTTTACTCCCGAGTTGATCCTTGTTCCTTAACTGTTCTCTTCTCCTGGCAGCTCTGCACATGCACACACTGAAAACAGGCTCCAGCTGTTCTTCTGCCCCACTGATCTCCGACTCCGAAGGCGGCCCTGGCCCCATCTCTGCCTCCAATGCAGAGCACTGGTCAGAGCCTTCCCCAGCCTCCAGGACTGGCCCATGTTCCTCCCCAACCTCCTCACTGTCCGAGTCTGCCACCAGCGGAACACAACACCACCAACTCTTTCAGAGAAGACCATTGTCTATAGGCCCATGCCATTCTTATTCAGTTATCTCTACAATCCGTGCTCCTGGAAGAGTTATTAATAATTAACTTAGTTCAAATGATTATGAATTTTCTTGATTATAGCACCGAAAGTTCAGCCAGTCGAGAAGGTCGGGGTAAGAATAAGTTCACCAAGAGAGTTTGTAACACAGGCAGCTGGGACCGCCGAATAACACCTTTTGACAAACGCATCGATTAATGATCTTGCGTTATTTAACTCGTACTTTTTTCCCACACTGCCTCGGGCAGATTCTATTTAAATTGCTCGCTGGCACAAGGACCCGAAACTGCTGGATTCTTCTCATTAGCTACAATTAGGTAAGAATCAGATTGAGGAAACATACCATCCGATTAGTCAAACATTGAATGTACTTTGCCTGGAGGGAGAAGATGCGTTAGCAAAGGATTAGTATGGCCCAATACACATTTGCACACGTTCTAAAAATAGCGAGTAAACTCCCGAGAAAGGCTGGTCTCAGTGACCAACTCCCTGGTTTATCAAAGTTGGCATTTGTCTCGACTATTCCATGAATAGCACCCTGAGAAAAAGCATCCGATTCTGGTCCAATTGCCAAGAAGGAGATGTACAATATTGAGGGCACTTGGATGGGCTGGTGCAAGACTCTTTTTAATGAAAAGAAGGACTACCTTATTTTATTTTTAAAAAATATATATACACACACATACATACATACAATGCGTAAGGACTATCTTGATAGCAGTGTCCCAACATTTGAGGGGCTGCCACAAAGAAGAGGGAGTCAACCCAAGGTGGTATTCAGCAGGTTCTGACAAGTTCTGGAGAACCAGGAGTGGAGCACCAAGGAGTCATTAGGTCAACCCTGAGCTACAACTTTTTTTTCTCTTGTGGTAAGTCCTGCGACTCATCAAACAGAAGTAAATCAACAACCCCAAAGCAGAAACTGGGATTAACACTAAGATTAGTCATCAACTTCATTTTGACTTGTTTAATTTTTATTTAACATGTTATGTGGCCCCAGCCAGAGGTGGTATTCAGCAGGTTCTGACCAGTTCTGGAGAACCGGTAGCGAAAATGTTGAGTATTTCAGAGAACCGGCAAATACTATCTCTGATTGGCCCCGCACCCATCTCTTCTCTGAGTCCCAGATGATAGGCTGGGTCATCTTGGGTTGTCCTGCACAGGAGAACAGAGCTGGAAAGCAGGTTAGTGGGATGGGGAGGGAAGGGAGATTTTGTAGTAACAGTCCCCCAGGAATAGGGAGGGAATGGAGATTTTGTGGTACCCTTCCCCTGCCATGCCCACCAAGCCACGCCCACCACTGGAGTCAACCTATTCTCCAAAGCATCCGAGGGAAGGACAAGAAGCACTGGGTGGGAAACTCATCAAGGAAAGAAGCAACCTAGAACTTAAGGAGAAAATAATTAAAATTGGCTGGGAAACAGAGTTAATGGGCCCCACGATTGCAATGGATGGAAGTTAATGAAGGAGAGAAGCAACTTAGAACTCAGAAGAAATGTCCTGACAGTGAGAACAACTAATCAGTGGAACAATTTACCTCCAGAAGTTCTGGGTGCTCCAACAACTGGAGGTTTCTAAGAAGAGATTGGACGACGATTTGAAATGGTGTAGGATTTCCTGCCTGCCCAGGGGGTTGGATTAGAAGACCTCCAACAGTTGTGGGATTCAATTTTTTTTTTACTACCGGTTCTGTGGGCATGGCTTGGTGGGTGTGGCAGGGGGAGGATACTGTAAAATCTCCAGGCAGAGGGGATATTTGCCGGTTCTCCGAACTACTCAAAATATCCGCTACCAGTTCTCCAGAACTGGTTAGAACCTGCTGAAGACCATCTCTGACCCCCAAGGTCCCTTCCAACTCTGGTATTCGGTTCTTTATTAGCATAGTCGATATTTGTTTGGTTGGGTGGATGGGTGTAGTGACATGACTCTATCAAGATCATGTCTCATGCCGTCCTTGGAAACTGAAGGACTTCGGAAGATTCTTATCCCACCAAGCCTTCTTTACAGGACCGTCCCCAGGGAGAAAAATAGAGCAACCGTGTGAATTCTGTACATTAGTTTGGGGATGAAGGGGGACATAGGAGCACGTGAATGTGTGGGTGCCATCATGACACCCATCTGTCTTCTTACGGGTTCTCATCAAGAGATGCCTGAGAAAATGGATGAATGTTTCTCTACCACCTGCATATTATTCCATTTCCTCTTGATCTGGAAGCTGATGGATGCTTTTAATGGTATATTTGTCGAATGGCTGTTGCTAGTTTCATCACAACAGCTTTTCACCTTGTACCGCTAGAATAATAATAATAATAGCGCTCCTCAAGAAGGGAGTTGATGTTTTATATTTGTGTTCATTATAGTCTCATTTTACCGGGTGAGAGCAGGAACGGTGGAGGTCAAGGAAATGAATGGGTTTGTAAACCTTGGGCAGAGCAAAAGAATAAAACTACAACGGTTCTAGCATCCATAATATATTCCCATAGGTAGAAGCTGGTGGGAGGAGGGGGGGGAAGAGGCACTCTCACACAT